TTTTTTTTTTGGAGAGAGAGAGTCTTGCTCTGTCATCCAGACTGCAACCTCTGTCTCTTGGGTTCAAGGGATACTCCCACCTCAACCGCCTGAGTAGCTGGGACTACAGTCGCTCGTCACCACACCCGGCTAATTTTTTGTATTTTTAGTAGAGATGGGGTTTCACTATGTTGGCCAGGCTGGTCTTGTACTCCTGACCTTAAGTGATCTGCCCGCCTTGTCCTCCCAAAGTGCTAGGATTACAGGCGTGAGCCCCTGCGCCTGGCCTCTCTCATGTATTTTTAGAGACAGGGTCTCGCTGTCACCCAAGCTAGAGTACGGTGGTACAATCATAACTCACTGTAACCCCGAACTCCTGGGCTCAAGTGATCCTCCCCCCTCAGTCTCCCAGAGTGCTGGGATTACAGGCATGAGCCACTGTGCCTGTCTTTTTTTATTTTTATAAGATCTTCTGTAGTACATGCCTAAACTTACATGTCAATGTGCCAAGTTACAGTAGTTGGTACACAATAGTACTAACCTCCTTCTCTTTCCATTCTAAGGTGACTGAGACAGTCGGCCCAGACCTAACCACCTACTTACGGAATAGCTACTACTAGAGTGAGGCCGGCCTATTGCTGATCCTGGTAACAAAGATAGACCCAGCAGAGATCTTGCAAAAAAGAAGGTATCTAAACACAAAGAACTGTAATTTGGGATTTAAAAGTGATTAAGACAGGCTCGGTGGCTCACGCCTGTAATCCCAGCACTTTGGGAGGCCAAAGCAGGTGGATCACCTGAGGTCAGGAGTTCGAGACCAGCCTGACCAACATGGAGAAACCCCGTCTCTACTAAAAATACAAAATTAGCCGGGCATAGTGGTGCATGCCTGTAATCCCAGCTACTTGGGAGGCTGATGCAGGAGAATCGCTTGAACCCGGGAGGCGGAGGTTGCGGTGAGCCGAGATCTCGTCACTGCACTCCAGTCTGGGCAACAAGAGGAAAATTCCGTCTAAGAGTTACACAAAAGGGATCAGAGGTGGAATGACAGGATAGATGCAGCTTCAGGAAGAATAAACTGCTTGGACAAAGACAGGAAAGTATGGGGTACGTACGGTGAACTAGACCAAGACCAAGTGATAAGCCCAGGTCACAAAGCCATTAACGAATGATAAAATAAAGTCTTAAAACCTAGATTTCTTCACCAGGACCAGAGAACCTTTTTTTTTTGAGACAGAGTCTCACTCAGTTGCCCAGGCTGGAGTGCAGTGGTGCCATCTTGGCTCACTGCAAGCTCTGCCTCCCAGGTTCACGCCATTCTCCTGCCTCAGCCTCCTGAGTAGCTGGGACTACAGGCGCCCGCCACCATACCCGGCTAATTTTGTGTATGTATTTTTAGTAGAGATGGGGTTTCACCGTGTTAGCCAGGATGACCTCAATCTCCTCCCCTCATGATCCGCCCACCTCAACCCCACGTTCACAAGCCCGAGACCCCTCTCACCCCAGTACTGGGAGTAGCTGGGACTACAGGCATCCACCAACACGCCTGGCTAATTTTATTATTATTACTTTTTAGTAGAGACAGGGTTTCACCATGTTAGCCAGGATGGTCTATGATCTCCTGACCTCGTGATCTGCCCACCTCAGCCTCCCAAAGTGCTGGGATTACAGGTGTGAGCCACCACACCCGGCCAGGACCTCTTTTTAAATTAGGCCAGTCCAATCTGAGAATAAGCTACATTCAATTTTCTTCCCAGATTAAAACTGCTTCAACGAATAGGAAGGCTGCCAGCACACAGAACTTACAGTCAAGGTTGCTTATTGCAGCACTGCAGAGCGACAAGTTGGAAACAATGTTTGCCAGTGAGGAAATGGTTGAATAAACTTGCTAACACAATCTGGAATATTATGCAGCTCCTAAAAATGGGTTAAACTGCCATTTATTGGATACACTTTGGGTGTTCTGTTAAGGAATGCAACTTACAGAAAAATACACAAAACAGGATCCTATTTTTGTAAAGACAAACTAGAAATCCTGTGTACTTATTATTATCTCAGATCTGTGGAAAGAAGTGGAGTGGAAGCATCTTACAGTCTTGCCATGGGGGTGGAGAGCGATGACCATTTTACATTTTTACTCTTGTGAATTTAAAAAACTAAGAATTTAAATAAAAACTGAGTGTACTGTTGTGAAGCCCACCTCCCTCTCCAGCTGTTCTGCCTGGGGGTGTGACAGCCACCAGCCTTTCTGCAGGTCAGCTCTGCACTGCCCCCTTTCCAAAGCACAGCCAACACAAAGTGTGGCCAGGAATGCAACAGGACCCACACCCAGGGCCATCTCGTTCTGCAGAGGGAAACTGAGTCTCAGAAAGCCCAGTAACTACTCTGAGAGCTATGACTACCAGTCAGCTCTCCTCCCTTTCCCTAGTTAAGCATCTTTCCACAAAACTACCATTCTAGAGACAGAAATGATGATGACTCGGTGGTAGCTTTCCTGGCAATTAATTCCAATACAAAACCACCAATTACTTTACCAAATTTTTTTTACTCAAGTATTCCACGTGGGTCGCTGCTCTTGGCTCCTATGTTTTTAAGATATAATTTATTAAGCTCGCACTTACCCCTTAATCACCTCGACTGAAAGTGATCTTCACCTCACCTACCTGCTCTCTTTCAGGGAAAAACCGCTTCTCACTGCCCAGTTTTTGGCCACTTTGGCCCTCAGTGGCTTCTCTAATCAATAACTTGGTTCTAGGCAGCCCCTCCAGCAAGTACTTGCCATACTAACTTCTGAGGTAGAACTTTTAAAAAGCAGAAGCAGCAGGTTTGAAAAAAAAAGGGCACTGACTCTTGTGGCCCTCAGGCCCGAAATGTGCGCTTGTCTCAACAAAGTCTTGGTCCAGCAGCGGCACAGGCTCGACTGCTCTTTTGATCTCACACGCTGGAGAAGGTGGAGTGAAGGAATTCGAGGCCGAGTGGAAAAAGCCCGTGAACGGGCAACACGCACCTTGCGACACGAAGTTTCCCGATCACCGCTGTGGCCCCGGCCTCGAGCCGCCGCACGGAAATGAGTAACAGCTCCTGCCTAGGGCACACCCGGCCGGGCTCGGCCTCGCTGCGTGACCTTGGACAAGTCTCGGGCTTCTTTGGTCACTTTTTCAACCGCACAAGTTGCGGCTGCCTCTGCGCCCGTGAGCGCCGAGGTCGTGAACGCGCGCGAGGCGTCGCCGCTGGCCCTGGACCACAAGCGCACGTGGACCACCGTACCTTCCGAGCCAGACGCCCCCGTGCTGCGGTACTCTCCTGACACGGCGCCCGCCCACTCCACCCTTCCCGCCCAGGCGGCCATGCTCGGCCTCTCCAGAACCCCGAACGGAGAGCCTGGCCGCAGAGCAGGCCCCAGCGGGGCGATCCGCGTCCCGCAGCGGGGAACCCCGAGCCTGGGGATGCCCAGCTCCGGGGCCGGGGAGGAGGCCCCGGGGCCAGGAAAGGTCCCCATCGGAGCGGGAGGTCGCGCTCCCACCTCAGCTTAGGGAGGCCAAGTGCCCCTTACCTGAGAGACAACGCAAAAGCCGGAAGACTGCGCCGCGCCAGCCTCACACACTGAGCCGCCATGACTGCCACTGCCTGCCGCCGCCGTCGCCGCGCACGCACCAAGCGTGCGTGCAGGCAGCTATACCCACTCTTCCGCCCTACTACTTCGCCTCAGCCAATCCGTAACCGCTTTTCCTGTTATGGACAGGCAATAGTCACCAATAATTGTGGGTCACGGAAGAGCATTTCCACCCCCCCGGTGGGCGGGGCCTGAGGCTTACCGGCGGCCGCGAAGAGGTGAAAGGTGAAGTGAGCATTGGGAGGAGCCTCCAGTAGGCGTGGCGATGCCGGGAGGAGCCAATGAGGAGGCAGCGTGAGGGGGTGGGCCCAGAGCCCGGGTTGGGGCGTGCGCGTTGCGAGCCGGCAGGGACTTCGGAGCCGGGGTTTGGGTAGGAGCCCGGGTTTGGGTAGGAGCCCAGTGCCAGTTTCCCGTTTCCCGGCCTCCACCCGCCAGTGCGCTGACACTCCGGGCCTCCCTTTGCTCTGGGAACGAGCGTGGGGAGCACTGTTCACTCTCACACCCTGGCTCCAGATCGGCGCGGAGCACTCCATGTTTGCTAAATGAAACTGAAGCCTCGGCGCGAGCGCCACCCAAACGGCGGCGCAGGTGCTTGAGAAATAACCGCGGAGGCAACCGCTTGGGAAGGCGCCCCCACCCCGACGCTGCTTCTCCGGGCGCCCGAGGCGGAGAGGAGAAGGCGCTGGGGTCTCCGTCTCAACCAGTGAGTTCTGGTGAAACGGGAAACAAAACCTAGGAAGCAAATGGGACAAAATGTTGGCGGTTTTGATGCTGGATGATGGGCATATGGGCGTGTGTTTTGTACCTTTCTGTTATCTTCAGTTTTCTCAAAACACGAAAAACAGACTAAGAACAGACTAAGAAAACATTGGGGCACAACTAAAGCTCATAAATGCACACGTCTTCATAACCTGGCCGAGGTCCGTGCTGCTGTAGCGCATACCCGCAAGAGCAGAGGTGCTGGAAGAGCAGGGGCGGCGTGTTCTCATGGTCCCGGTGCCGGCCCCCAAGCGGGATTCCCGTGGGAGATAGGGCCTGGCTCCCGCTTCAGCACAGCGTGGCCTGGAGTGCAGTTCTGACTGCCAAGATCTGAGGAC